GGGAAAACTCTATGTTTTTCCCTCAGATGACCGCAGCCCCGCCCCTGGCACGCCCGATGCGGCCGCGTCACTTCCGGGTGACGTGCTCGTGGCGCGCGCTTTGCGCGTGCGCTCCCGGAGCAAGCTGGGAGTCCCCCGCTGCGGCTTAAGGTCGGAACCCTATTTCCAGGTGCCACTTGGATGTTGGTCACCCTACACACCGGTATGCTCTCTTCTTTCCTAGAAACATGGGCCTGTAAGTCTCAAGACTGCCTTCCCATCACAAGAGTCGAGCATAACACTTTTTTTATAATTTGATGGTTTAAAGAAAGCCTGAGGGTTTGTTGTATCTTTTGGGGTTTTTTTAAAAAAAGAATCTTATTAAAATGTAAATGTATAAAAACCGAAAATAAAACAACAGCTTGCCAAAATAATTCATTCCTTCATAAAGGCAAAAGTGGCCCTTTCCTCCCCTCAAGGTCTGGAGCGGCAACACCAAGTTGGTGGCCTACAGGAGTAAGCCAGCCTATGACTCATCTCTTTTATTGCTTCCCAACAACCTCTCTGCCACACCACTCCCCCCCCCCCTGCAAACACACACCTTTTGCTGAAGCTGCCGGGCTCGCCTGAGTGCTGCTCTCTGCTGCAAGAGCCTCACTGTGCTGTGCTGGCGTCGCAGCCTCACTTTGCGCCCGTTCTGGACCCCGTTGTAATATTCCACGCAGTCACCCGGAGCCTCAGGACGCAAGGCACCCTGCAACGGAGAGGAAAATCAGTTGCTTGCAGCTGCTAACATCTGTGCTTTACACTCCTCCCTCCTGAGCCATTCAGCAACCTAATGGGGCTTTGGCAGGTGCTGAGGCTGGAAGCTGCAGCAACAGGAACAAAGGGGGAGGAAATGAATCTCCCTATCATGTGCAGTCTGGCTCGCTTGCTTGAGCCAGCTGGATGGTTTCAAAAAACATGTCTGTTGATAAACTCTATAGTGGTGTGTGTCTTTCACCATGCTCTCCCTTTCTGAAACACTACACTTGGGATGGTGCCTGTTTACCTGTCATGGATTTGTTTGCATGCAAAAGATCCTGATTTAGGATGGGGGGCAGAGGAGACTGGATAACTTTCAGGTCCTATCTGGCTGTATAGTAAAAGACTTTTCCAAGGAGAACAAGACATCCCCTGTACATAAATCCTTTAGATAAATCCCATAAAAAAGAGGCACCATTGCCTTTGCCTTCATCCAAACTACGGTCTTGTAGACACAATCCCTTTCTGCATATGGTGCAGGAAATCACCTCCTCTTTCCCCAAGTCTGGCTCCCTCTTTTCCCCTCCCCATGCACTGACCGGCAGACCAGGATGGGTTGGCGGGTGGCCCGTGGCATGCTCTGCTTCGTACATATAGTAGTCCAGGGGCATGCAGAAAAACCCAGGCTGCACTTCATTGCACTGGCGGCCCATGAGGTTGGCCCGACAAGGGCACTGCCCATCATCTGTGGAGCACCTGGAAACAGATGGGAAAATAACCTCAAGGCAAGTAAAATAGACTCCTGACAGCTGGTGGCACTCTTAAATCATAATCAGGGTACTGTGTACCATGTGTCCCTAGATCAAGATGGGTAGCTGTGTTAGTCTGTCTGTAGCAGCAGAAAAGAGCAAGGGTCCAGTAGCACCTTAAGGACTAACAAAATTTGTGGCAGGGTAGGAGCTTCTGTGAGTCACTGCTCAAGTCCTCTCACCAAAGCTCCTACCCTGCCATAAATTTTGTTCGTCTCTAAGGTGCTACTGGACTCTTGCTCTTTTCTACTGCATGAATCCATTGTTTATCCGGGGGGGGGGGATGTTAGTTTGGATCCACCAAAAGATTTCCACATGTTCTAGGGCTCTTGCACAAGTGAAAGTGTGAAAAAACCCTCACACTAGCATTTTGTGCTAAGCTAAACATAGGAGCTGCGGTGGCTCAAGTGGTTAAGACGCTGAACTGCAGGCTGTGGAAGGTCAATAGTTCAGCAGTTCGAGACCTGAGTTGCCGCATGATGGAGTGAGCTCCCGTCTCTAGTTCCCCCTCCTGCCGACCTAGCAGTTCGAAAGCAAGACATTGCAAGTAGATAAATAGGTACCACTTTGGTGGGAAGGTAACAGTGTTCCGTGCACCTTGGTGTTTAGTCATGCCGGCCACATGACCACGGGAACGTCTTCGGACAGCGCTGGCTCTTCGGCTTTGAAATGGAGATGAGCACCGCAACCCTAGAGTCGGACTTGACTGGCTTTCGAGCAAGGGAACCTTTACCTTTAAACATAGAGTATCCTGAACTGCTCTTCAGCTTGTTCAAGACATTGTACAAGCAATTTCTGGACATTATAAGACATAGGGAGAAAAGTGGTAGATATGGCACAAGATCTTGCACAGGCAGAACAGCACGACTCGTGTTCCTGCTTTCACATTGCTGGATTCAAGCTGTTATGTTTTAATAAGTAATACACAGGTTCGTTTTACATCACCTTTTTAAATTTTGTGTGTTAAGCGCCATCAAGTCACTTCCAACTCACGGTGACCCTATGAATTGTCCTGTAAAATGTCCTGTCATTAACAGTCCTCATGCTCAGATCTTACAGACTGAGGGCAGTCTGTAGAATCAATCCACACGTCATGTTGGGTCTTCCTCTTTTCCTGCTGCTTTCAACTTTTCCTAGCAGTATTGTCTTTTCCAGTGAGTCTCGTCTTCTCATAATGTGACCAAAGAACGATAGCCTCAGTTTGGTCATTTTAGCTTCTAGTGATTTTGAAATTTTCTACACTAGGTTCATTTAATGTTTCCTGTTTGACTTCCCTATAAATTGATTTGTTTTGTCGATGCACTATAACAAAGTCAAAATATAGAGATATAGAAAAGCTGGCTTATAAAACCATAAAACACATGCAAAACTGGCTTATAGAAACCACAAAACACACAAGCATTAAGACAATCTGCCATATGGACAGCTAACTAAATGCACTCTTTCTGCCTCCAAACCAGAAGAAGCAGCCTTTTCAGTCATTAGCTATACTTCTGTGCAGTGTTATGCTGGAGAGCATGTGTACCACCACCACAATGATACCTTTACCACTGCACGGTATCTTAATTTTATCACGGAATCTGACCCCTGGCATAAGGGTCAGTTTGCGTCACAAAATACACTTCCAGCTCCAGGGCCACAGTTCGGGGGAATACTTACTCCCCAAATACCCCAGTTGGCCACAACTCTACTAGTGCCCTCCCACTCCCCATGCCACATGACTTTGTCCCCATTTCCCCCACCTGGTCGTGTCCATTCCACTCCTACCTGTTGCTGTAGGCACCTCCAAAATCACAAGCACAGCTTCGGCATCCAGTCATGTCATAGCTGAGCCCCCAGTATTCAGGCTGTGGAAGAGGAGGATAATTACAACCGGAAGGAGATCAAATCCATAGCACAGGCAGAAGCACGAACACACGCTCTCTAATGGTATAGCGCTCACTCACCAAACACTGGTTGCAATATCGCCCCGTAACAAAACGCTTGCAGTAGCAGTCACCGCTGATGTGGTCGCAGGGGCTGCTACCTGCGATGATCCCACGAGGGTCACACCTGCAAGCTGAGAACAGCAGGGCCCAGTATGGGTTGTTAATCCAGCTATGCCTGGTACAAGGCTATCCCACCAACCCCTTCTCTTCCTAGCTCTGCTGAGCAGGCTCAAAGGGGCCAGAATTCTGAGCTCTCACCACTCCATGTTCGACTCCACCCAGTTTCTGCAACCAAGGTCCTGCAGGTGGAATAAGGCCATCCAATTGTTTCCTACACACATCTTGCTTTACTTCAAACCGATCTAAAATTGTTCATTCTAATAGATGTACTCAGGAAAAGAAAGCCAGAACTCCAGGAATACAGACTAATCAGCAGAAGAACAGAAACTGTGTATGTGTTGTTGGGGGGGAAATAATACAGCATAAAGAAATTGCCACCATCACCCACACTAGGAAGACACCCAGTTTCAGAGATGGTACAAGGCATTTGACTACCTGAAGCACAAAATGGTGGTGAGAATATAACAGACCAAATAATTGACAATTTGCTGCACTGTAGTGATACCCCGGACTCGAGTTGGACTCAACTGTGCGACTGAACAACCCCTAGATCAACAAGACAAGGTGCCTCGCTCTATCTAACAGGAGGGCTGTTCCTGTCTAGAATCTCTCTGATTTACCAAATCCAGACTCTTACAGGGCTCTTTTTGTAGAAAAAGCCCAACAGGAACTCATTAGCATAATAGGCCACACCCAACAGCAGAAACTCATTAGCATATTAGGCCACACCATGACAGCACAACTCATTCGCATATTAGGCCACCCCCCCATGTTACCAGCAGTGTGGTCATCCAGCCACACCCACCTTTTGCTTCTTATTCTGCTTACTTTGTTTATTGTCTAAACCCAGGGCTTTTTTTGTAGCAGGAACTTCTTTGCATGTTAGGCCACACACCCCTAATGTAGCCAATCCTAATGAGTTTCTGCTGTTGGGTGTGGCCTATTATGCTAATTAGATCCTGCTGGGCGTGGCCAATTCGGGAGCCAGGCGGAACTCCGTTCCTGCCCCAAAATGGCCCTGCTTCTACATAACCACACCAGCTAGAAACTTGCCTTTTAAAAACATGACACCAGGAATTAATAGGAGGCAGTCAAGTAGCTTAAATTCTGGAGAGCTGCTATACTGCCGTCCAGATGCTGGGATGCTTCAGGTGGCGCAGGTCCTGACAGCTGCTAAGAACAGGTATGAAATCAGCACAATCTATGCTGGTTTATTCTGAGTAACATGAGGGTGTTTCAGCTTGTCTTTCCTCTATGCACCACTTACAATTACATAGGCTTTACATAGGGCTGCTCTTGAGAGGAACCCTTTTGGATCACACCAGTGGTCCATCTAGTCCAGCACTGTCTCACACAGTGCCCAATCAATTATATGGAGGGCCAACAACAGGGCATAGAGGCTGAGGCCTTCCCTTGAAGTTGCCTCCTGGATCTGGGGTTCAGAGGTTTAGTGCCTTTGAATGTGGAGGTTCCCTTCAGTCACCATGGCTAGTAGCCATTGATAGGCTTATCCTCCTTTTAAAGCTGTTTATTCCTGTGGCCATCACTACATTGTCTGGCAGAGAATCCCACATTTTAATCACTCTGTGTAAAAACGAATTTCATTTTGTCTGTCCTGAACCTAGTGCCCATTAGCTGTATTGAATGCCCTTGAGTGCTAGAATTTTGGAGAGGGAGAAAAATTTCTCTTTGTCAACTCTCTCCACCCCATGCATAATTTTATAAACCTCTATCATATCGTCCCAGCCCCCCCCCCAGTCATCTCCTTTCTAAACTGAAAAGTCCCAGATTCTTCAACCTTTCCTCTTGGGGAAGGAGCTTCAACCCCCTAATAATCTTGGTTGCCCTCTTCTGTACTTCTTCCAGCTCTGCAATGTCCTTCTTGTGCAGAAACTTTAATTGGTGCAGAATGCTGCAACCAGGAATTTCACTGGATTGGGTCATAGGGACCATCCCACTCCAGTCTTGGCCCGCCTTCACTGAATCCCCGCTATTTCTGGACACAATTCAAGATGCTGGTGCTGACCTCTAAATGCCTATACGGGTTTGAGACCAGCATACTTGGGGTACTGCTTACTCCCTTACGAAACGACCTGATCGCTCTGGTAGATCTTCTGAGGCCCTCCCTTGGGTGCCCCTGCCTTCTGAGATTAGGTGGGTGGCAACCCGAGTGATGGCCTTCTTGATTATGCCACCAAAACTCTGGAACTCTTTCTCCAGACAGACGCACCTGTCCCTCTTTTGTTGCTGCCTTCTGCCAGCAGGTGGAGACTTCTCTGTTTTGACTGGTATTCCCTCAGGGATCCTTCCTTCCTGCCCCCTGTTTTAATTGTGTGTGTGTTTTAACTTGGTTTTAATGATGTGGTTTGTGTTTGGTTTTGATGGCTTTTCAGATGTGCTTTATTATGTCTGTTTTTAGTCTGTTTTAACCTCGGTGGCCCTTGTGAAATGAAAAGAACGGAAGGCTCGTCCCCACCACATCACCTCAGGCAATCTCCAATACTAACGCTGGCACCCCTGGGGGTCGTTGCGGCTCAGTCCGTAAAAGGCTTCTTTGCAGCTGTCACAGCGCATCCCCTTGACGTTCTCTTTGCAGCGGCACTGCCCAGCAATCATGCCCAGCATTGCGTCTGTGTGACTGTCACACACGCCACCATCCAAGGAGCCCACTGGGTCACAGTCACAGGCTGTGGGACAAAAGAGAAGCAGGGAAGAGGTATACATTAGAGTATACAGTCAGCATCCTGGGTGGCTGAGAGAGGTTGAATCAGAACCAGAGATCTAGAGAATCAAAGGGTCACATCCATAGGGTTGGGTCCCACAGAAGATTTCTGTACACGCTACAGTACTTGCACAAGCGGAAGCCCTAAAATTATTCATAAGAATAGCCATGCTGGATCAGACCCAAGGCCCATGTAGTCCAGCATTCTGTTCACACAGTGGCCAACCAGCTTCCTCTAGGAAGGCCACAAACAGGAAGTCTGCAACCGCACCATCCTGCCTGTGCTCCCCAGCAACTGACCTAAAGAGGCATGCTACCTCTGGTACTGGGGGGGAGTACATATCTATTCCTTGCTGGCTGCTTGCATGAAATGAAAGCAACGGTATCCCCATTATCTTTACCACATGCAAGGCATAGTACAAGACACAGTACAAGGTGTTTCTTCTGACACAATTTCAAAGCTAAACTGAATGTAATCATTTGACCCCATCTGTTGTACATTCCATTGGCACATGAAATGTACATTCCATATGCACATGAAATGGGAACCACCACATGATGTTGTGCTCATTTTGAACACTGACCTGTGGGCTCCCCAGGCTGGATCAAAAATAAACCTATGTTTACCTGGTTCCAGGGTAGGGTTGCCAGCCTCCAGGTGGGGCCTGGAGATCTCCTGGAATTACAGCCGATCTCCAGGCTACAGAGAACAATTCCCCAGAGAAAATAACTGCTTTGGAAGGTGGGCTCTATGGCATTTTATCCTACTGAGGTCCTTCCCCCCCAAAAAACCCCACCCATCCTAGGCTTCATCCCCCAAATCCCAGGAATTTCTCAACCCAGAGCTGGTGACCCTACCCTACACCAAGGGGAAACTGTAGGGCAGGGAGGGCTGGAGATGGAACCTACACCTGGAAGCTCCACCTTTTGCCACCAGCGGGGTGGTTGGTAGCTAAGCTCGGTTTTCAAAATAGTGCAGGCAGTTTGGTGTAGTGGTTAAGAGCAGTGGACTCTAATCTGGAGAGCCAGACTGTATTCCCCACTCCTCCACATGAAGCCAGCTGGGTGACCTTGGGTCAGTTACAGTTCTCTCAGAGCAGTTCTCTCAAGAGCTCTCAGAGCTCTCTCAGCCCAACCTACCGCACAGGGTGTTTGCTGTGGGGAGAGGAAGGCAAGGCTATTGTAAGCTACTCTGAGACTCCTTCGGGTAGTGAAGGGTGGGTTATAAAAACCAACTCTTCTTCTATCACTTTCCCTGCCAAGCCTGTACCTACTTTCAACAGGGAAAGTGATAGTGAGGAAGAAAGGTTAGGGTGGGGGATCCATGACTCAAGAAGGCTTTTGCAGACTAAGTGACGGGTTTTTTTGAACCCTTGATGCTGGACAACATGTCAGCTTTCCAGTTACACAGAACTCTCGACCAAGCAGCATGAGAAGGCAGCTACATTCCCCACTACATACAGATCAAGATGGTTTACCGATGCAAATATATTTGGTCCCTTCAGATACACAATCGCCTAATTAGTTACTTTTTGAGAGCAATAATGATCTGGGGAGTGAAGAAGAGAAGGTGATACTCACGGATGCAGGCCGTGCTGGCCCGGATGTCAGCCAGAGGGTTGCGATAGTAGAAGGGCTTGCAGAGCTGGCAGTGCCGGCCCACGGTGTTGTGCTGGCACTCGTCGCAGACCCCACCGCTGGTGTTGCCTGTGGCCAGGTACACAGCCATGTCGAAGTGGCACTTGTGTGAGTGTTCGTTGCAGTTACATTCTGCGAAGCAACCAAGGACACCGTTAACAGGTAAGATGCTTCCCAACTTGAATCAGTTCACAGGGCTGCCAGCTCTGGGCTGGGAAATTCCTGGAGATTTTGGTGGGTGGAGCCTGGAGAGGGGCCTCAGTGGGGTATAATGCCAAAGAGCCCAGCTTCCCAAAGCAGCCATTTTCTCCAGGGGAACTGATCTCTGAAACTCAGAGACCAGCTGTAATTCCAGGAGATCTCCACCCCCCCACCTGCAGACTGGCCACCCTAAGTTCCAGCTTTCACCCTCCTTCTCCTTTCACTCACCCATTTTTCTCCCATGATGTTGCTTAAGTGATCTAAGGCAGCAGCCCTTATTACAGTGTTAACTAAATAACTTCTTGGAGCCTGGAGAGGATAGGGCCCTCAGTGGGGTACAGTGCCACAGAGTCCACCCTCCGAAGCAAGGTCCCCCCTAAGCTGAGTTAGTGTGAGCTAGTTCACAGTTTGTTAGACTCTGGTTCGCACATTTTTGCCTTAGCTCAGAAAGGATGGCTCCAGAGCAAACAAATTTATGCAGCAGCCAAATCACTCACTCACAACTTTAATGCCACTAGCTCACAAAGTAGAATTTTTGCTCACAAGACTCCACAGCTTAGAGGGGGCATTGCTCTGAAGTATCCATTTTCTCCAGGGAAACTGATTTTCGTAGTCTGGAAATGAGCTGTAATTCTAGGGGGTCTCCAGGTTCCACCTGGAGGCTGGCATCTTTAGGACTGAAGGACGCCCCCCCTCACATACTCTTGTGAATGTCCCCCATTGTAAATATATAAATATTCACCTTACCCATAAGCCTTTGCAACACTATTGGTCTGTTCTACTCTCCCAGTCAACTTTGAAACAATCAGTGCTATAATTTCTAGACATACTGGTCCACATCTCTCAGGGATAAATGTGCTTCCATTGATCCCCATGGCTTCACCCCAGGGAAGCTCCATGTAAACATAAAAGCTCAAACGTTTCTCACCCCGGCAGGCATGCGGATTGTCGGCCTCAGCTGGTCTCCATGGCAACTCCTGGTAGAAGTCCTTGCAGAGCTCACAGTTGAGGCCCTTGGTGTGATGTTTGCACACACACCGTCCATGGATCTGGGGCAGAGGAAACAGGTGAGGGGGCGTGAAGAGGCGGCCTACTGGCATGGCCCAGTAGACTCAGAGAAGGCTGTCACTCAGATTTTAAAAGGTCCCATGACCCCAAGAGAGCTAAATAGTGGCTGATGGTCATAGGCTTGGTAATATGCATGACTGCAGTCCTATAACAGATTCTAGTAGCATTTGCAGACTCTCCCTCCCCCAATTAAGTCTCTAGCCCTGATGTTTTGTGTAGAATAAATAACCCTAAAAAACATATGACCAATTTCTGCAAAAGCCTTCTTAAATCAGAAAGGGGCTGGGCAGAATTTCCTTTGGGTAAATTTGGGATTGCTTCACTCTATACGTGCCTTTCTCTTCTGACATAACTGTTATGGAAGAAATGCGATCCTTTTACTCTCTGCTAATCTTCTTCCCTACAGAAAAATAACTAGGGTTGCCAGCCTCCAGGTGGGGCCTGGGGATCTCCCGCTTTCACAACTGAACTGATCTCCAGTTGACAGAGATCAGCTCCCCTGGAGAAATTGGTTGCTTTGAAGGGTGGACTCTATGGCATTGTATCATGCTGAGGCTCTTCCCTTCCCCAAATTCCGCCCTCTCCTGGATCCACCCCCAAAGTCTCCAGGTATTTTCCCACCCAGAGCTGGCAACCCTAAAAATAGCATAAGCTATCAGGGCAGGAGGAATCTGAGTTAATCATATGAAAAATATATCTGTAAGGGCCGTTTCAGAAGGTAAAGCAAATAGAGAAAGAAGTACTTTTCTCCCTTTCTCACGATACAAGAACTTGTGGGCACTCCATGAAATTGCTGAGCAGTCGGGTTAGAATGGATAAAAGGAAGTACTTCTTCACCCAAAGAGTGATTAACACATGGAATTCACTGCCACAGGAGGTGGCGGCAGCTACAAGCATGGACAGCTTCAAGAGGGAATTAGGTAAACATATGGAGCAGAGGTCCATCAGTGGCTGTTAGCCACAAGGCATAGATAGGAACTCTCAATCTGGGGCAAGTGATGCTCTGTCTTCTTGGTGCTTGGGGGGGGGCAACAGTGGGAGGGCTTCTAGTGTCCTGGCCCCAGTGGTGGACCTCCTGATGGCACCTGGTATTTTTGGCCACTGTGTGACAGAGTGTTGGACTGGATGGGCCATTGGCCTGATCCAACATTGGCTTCTCTTATGTTTAGCCATGTTGGTTTGCAGTAGAACAGTTAGATTTGAGCTCAGTGGCACCTTAAGAGACCTACAAGAATTTTCTAGAGTCAAGAACTTTCTACAAGAACTTTCTAGAGTCAAAGCTCCCTTCATCAGATACAAGTCGGAATGGCAGTCTTTGAATCCTTCTGACTGGGATATAAGGACTCAGGGATCTCCATTCTGACTTGTATCTGACTGAAGGGAGCCTTGACTCTCTCAAGCTTGTTCCTCAAAAATCTGGTTTGTCTCTAAGGTGCAACTGGACTTGAATCTAACATATATATGAGGAGTTTCTGAAGCCGAATTTTTTTATTTTGGTTACTGGCTTTATGCTTCCTGGTGACAAAATGGAGTTTTTAGTGCAGTAGGCTAGACTATTTGCATATACCATAATTGGGGGGGGGGAATCACACTTCATAAGCAGAAATTCCCATTAGCCTACGCTTATGAAATCACTTGAGAGAATGACTCAGATGCAGGGGAAGAGAGCAGCGAGGGCCCAGGAGGGGGGGGGGGGGGGGGGGGGGGGGAGGGAATCATTCTTTGCATGAAATTCTGGAGAGTCACTGCAGCCAGAGCAGACAACGCTGAGCTGGATGGACCTGTTGGAATACGTAAGGTCTACAGTGCAGCGTTATGAAGAAGATCTGAAGATCCTACAGGAGGACAGCTGAAGGACTCGGAGTTAGGATAGCTAGACTATGAACCTTCCACTTCTTCAAATTGTGTCCTTGCTATCTCCTGAGTGGCTCTTCTGGAGACTTCCTGCTCCTGTAGAGATTCATGTTGCTCTTTTTTTATTTTTCCTTTTATTCCATACCCCAATATATATGCATTTTAAAATTGCAGGGAGCTTCATGGTGCTCTTTATTCCTCTCACAGCAGTTAGGCTACACAGTTAAGTGTCTCTCTCCTATGCTCTATCAAAGCTTGTTCTTCTTTAATAAAGCTACTTATTTTTCTTTAAGCAGTTGGTGCTCCACTTCCTTGCATACTTAAACTCTGCCAACGAGACCAATATAAGCAACTTTTTGCACCCAAGCAAATTTTAGCATTATGCCTTGTTGTCTTCTTCCTGCTACGGCATTTTTCCTCCCCGACCCCCTGCCCCGCCAAGTCCTTACCATGCCTTCAACTCTGCTTGACACCCCAGGCAGGGGGGCACACTCCGAGGCATGTCCATAGCAGAAGCAGCTCCCACGCAACACCATCTCGTATACGGCATAGTAGTACTTCTGCAGCACCTGATGTCGGGAGTCCAGTAGGTTGTCGCCCAGAGTGTGCAGCTTGGTGAAGTTCACCCGCAGGTTAGTGACTCGTAAGAGATCTGGGCAGGAGTGGACGGAGGGGGACGTTGGTGCAGAGCTCCTAGGGTCCCTGCCTCAGACATCCTGGCAACAGCCTCACAGCCCACATCCCACCCAACTTGCTGATAATCCATTCTTGGGTTTCTCCCTTGCCTCCCATACTAGGGCGGCAACCTTAATTAACCGGCTGACTGATCCATCAGTGAGCTAAGGGCATGTTGGTTTATCGTACAGCACAGGAATGGCAAAGGAAACAGTAAAGGCAGACCTTCTCTTCTAACAGTTAGCGGCATCTTTGGCTTATTCAACTGTAACGTCTCTACAAAGACCGCTAATGAGTTTTGGGTATTATGCAAATTTATTTAAATTAAATCAATCAACTGTTTAAAAGACAGATATTTAGTTTAATAATCTTTAAAACAGCCCTAATCTGTTAATACGTAAAACAGCCGTCATATATTGGTCGCTGTGTATCTAAGCTCCGCTGCTCTGGTGCCACTAAAGACCTTGCCACTGCTGTCTTGTTCTCTCGCTCTCTCTGCATGCGTCCTCCATGTCTTTCACCTCCCCCTGTTTCTCCATCTCAGGTCATGGCATTGTGATGATTAATCATATCCTGAATGTCCTGCGTCTGAAAAACTCATAATCCATGCCCATTTTTCTCCAGTGCTGTTGAAGTCCCAGAGTTAAGGGGCTGTCGTCCCCACCCTTCCTTTTCCCTTGACCTCCTGTTACTGTCATACCTTGGATTTCTCGGCTGTAAGGGTCCTCTACCTTTACAGCTGGGTCCAGAACTTTGAAAATCACCTGTGGGTTCAAGCAAGAGGGAATGTCTTTCCTTAGTAGTTGATACAGTACAGCAACTTCTTCCAAAAGTCCCAGGGCAGGGCATCAAATTATTAGGCCCAATCTCAACCCAAGCACTTTCCCCTGAAATTTGATTGCAGGCACAATTCACCTTTGAATTGTGAGCAGGTTGTGCCGAATTTACTGTGGAGTATATGTTCCTTGTTGATGAATGTGTAAGCTTATTATCCCAGATGGGAGACCAGGAGATTATCACCAAGGTCACTGCTGTGGGAGGCTTGAAAAGTTTTTCTCACTGTTTCATTCAATATAATAGCGACTGAAGAAGAACTCTTGTGGAAACAAGGGAACTATACCAGGTCCGGGACCTTGTATCGTTGTTACTGTTATCTCTGAATGTATTACTCCTCATTGTTACTGTTATTTCTGAATGTAATTACTCTGCATTGTTATTGTAATTTTGAATGTTATTGTTCCCAAGTGTATAGGATGTCTCAGCTATTGGTTAGTTTGATTGCTTAACTACATCCTATTTGGTCAGCTGGCAACTGGACTCTTGTAATTTTTGTGAGTTCATTGATACTGGTGTTGTATTTGACTACAGTGTTGTATTGTCTTTAATAGAGTTTTAGTTGTTAATTCTTTCTTACTGGTGGAACTTTTATATGATTTGGGAGTCTCTGAGATTGCAGCCCATTTTCAGAGTTTAACGTATTTGGTTACAGCCCTTTTCACACTATATTACAAGAACTATTTGCAAATGGAAGAGAGTACAGAACAGTGGCTGAACCACATCAGGGTCACAAGATTAACGCCTGTGTTTTAAAGTCACTGCTGTTTGCAGGGGCTTTTTAGATCCTGCCTCCCGACTTTCTACTGGCTGGCAATGGCTGCAAAACAAAACAGAAGTCGAGTGGCACCTCATAGACTGGCAGCATTTATTCCAGTATGAGTTTTCATGAGACAGAGCTCATTTCTACAGACGCAAGAAGAGAAATAAAGCCCTGAATCTCAGTTTGACTGAAAGGGAGAGAGAAAGGGAGGTGGTGAGCAGCAGGCTTCCCAAGTACTTATCGTGATTTGGCGGGGGACACAGACGTCTTCGCAGGATCATTCCCACGGGGACAACAGACGTGCCACACCATGCCATCGCCAGGAAGTGACGCCAGCGATGCTCTGGCAATGGGGCGGGAAACTCTATGGTACCATCGAGTTTTCAGCCCCATTGCCAGAGCATTGCCCGGCATCACTTCCTGGCGACAGCATGGTGCGTTACAGGGAGGAATGGTCCGGCTGGGGAGCATTTTTCCCCCACCGGATCGCGGTAAGTACTTGGGAACCCTAGTGAGCAGAGAGAGGCCCAATATAATAAATCAGGTGGGATTCTCTAAGATGCTTTCCACATAGAGGTGGGCTTGTGTGGTTTCCCCATTGAGCTGCACTTTTTGCTCCCAGTTGAGAAAATGTTGAGTGAATGCTAGATGCAGAATTGCCCAGAGACCAGTTCCCCAGAGAGGAAATGGCAGCTTCAGAGAGCAGACTCTCTGGGATCCTGTAATGTACTCCGCCATTACCACGTGCACGACCGTTGGGCCATGCGGTCAAGCACAGCCCTGAAGCTTCGCTCAGGGAGAACAATAGCCCAGCGGATCCTAGCCCGCACCTATCAGAGGGCCAGGTCCGCAGCCGAGAGCCTATGGGACTCTCGGCTACTGTAAATAGCCTGTAGGAAGTAGGGGGTGTGTTTTGGTGGTGGGTTTCTCTGGGCATATATACCGGCCTGCGAGCCGGCAGTCTTTGTCTTGTTCCAGCTTAATAAAAGTACTCTGCTGAAATCACTCCACGTTCTGAGTACTTTTCAGATCCCATCCCTGATTACCCTCCCTTCCCTCCTCAAACTTGTAATCCCCAGATACCACCCCCAAATCTCCAGGAATTTCCCAAGCCAGACTTGGCACTGCTGTACATGAGTCATGAAACTGCAAACATTTTAATTTTCAGTTTTCAAAGGGCAGCACCGGCCTTCCTGCACATTAATTGCACCTCAGCGGGGAAGTACTGACCTCACCGTGGCTGGAGGGCTCAATCTCAGAGTATCGCTGGTCACACACTGCCTGGTTGACATGTGTCGGGATCTGGGTAGGGATTCTAGGGAACAGCTTGGAGCAATTGAAGGCAAAGTAACGATAAACTTTCCAAGTGTGCCCAAAATCGGATGAACGTTCAATCAACATGGCTGCTGGGCGGAAGGTCTGGAAGAGAAAGAAGGAGAGAGCTGAGCTGCCGTTTTCTTTCTGTGGTGCCCCCCCCCCCAAAAAACCCTTCAGACAAAAAAATACCAAAATTTTCAAACAAGATGCTTGTAAGCAAGGCCACATTCAGAAATGCCCATTCAAGCACTTTTCAGGCCCACGTTAGGGGGTGTGCATGTAAAAAAAAATGAAGCTTTAAAGATGTTTATATTAATTGGTTGGTTTTTTAAAAACTGATCCACGGCCATGCGGGAAAGCTGTTTCTTTTTGCACATAAGCACACACACTGTCCACGCAAAAGCTGCTTTCTCTCACTTCACCTGGTCCAGCCACACATCCTTACAATGCAGAACCCACCCTATCAGGTGTAGTTTCTCTTCATCCTGTCACATGACTCAGATGCCATAAAACTTCTTGAATCCTTGCTTCAGTGAGTGTCATGCTACTGTCCAGGTCTAAGCTATATGAAGCTCAGGATTGGAGGGAGGGGCCCCACAGTGCTGTGTTACTGAATTGGACAGAAATCCACAAACCTCCCGTTAGCCTGTGCTTTTTGGTAATGAAGCTCTTGCCAATTCCCCATGAAAGCATCTAGTTGTTGTTGCCATTAAGGCACAGCTGACTTATGGCAACTCTGCAGGGTTTTCAAGGCAAGAGACATTCAGAGATGGTTTGCCATTGCCTGCCTCCGCATCATGACCCTGGTATTCCTTGGTGGTCTCCCATCCAAATACCAGCCAGTGCTGACCTGGCTTAGCTTCCAAGATCTGATGAGATCAGGCTAGCCTGGGCTATCCAGGTCAAGGTGAAAGCATATAGTAGCCACAGCAATATTTCAGCCTCTTTATAGAATTCCCAGTACCTTAAATTTCATTATGAGGTGAGTGAAGTGGAACTCAGCTTCCAGGTCCAGGCAGATGCTGACCTGCTCAACACCTGGGCATGGAGAGAAAGGGACAGATGTTAGATCCCCTCCCGTAAGTATCCTTCAAGAGGGGAGACTGAAAAGGGGGGGGGAAGTGTCTCATCTACATACATTCTGGAAGAGACAAATTCCTCAGGGATGTAAGTGATGTACGGCATCAGTCTTCCCCTGTATTGCTCACTTATTTGCCTTGAGCTATGTGCAAACAATAGTTTCCCAGAACCCGCAGGTGGTATGATAGAGCTATTGTTGCCTGCAGGCATATATATATTCATTTCATCTGTTCTGCTTTGGTCCCTGAACGCCACTTCCTGAGGCTTTGAAAAACCTGAAAAACTTGTCTAACCAAAGTCCACGGTGGGACCGGAAAACAAAATGAATGTGCCTACTTCTAGGCAGCAATAGCTCTATCATACCATCTTTAAGACTCTGGAAAACAATCACGCATACATACCCTCTGTCTAGTTCTAAGTGTGGAGCCGCGAGTCCTTCCTCCTAGAGGAAACCCCTCTCTCTCCGGATAGACCTATATCTTATATGTAATTCTAGAATACCTTTTCCTAAATTTTTAAATTTCATATCATGCAGCTGTTAGGTTGTGTGTGTGAGAGAGAGATTTTAAAGATGAAGAGTCGGGTTTATACTTGCTTTTTTCTACCTCAAGGGGCAGCTTACAATTGCCTTTCCTTCCTCTCCCCACAACAGGCACCTTGTGAAGCAGGTGAGGCTGAGACAGCTCGGAGAGAACCGTGACTCACCCAAGGTCACCCAGCAGGCTTCATTTGCAGGAGGGGGGGAATCAAACCCGGTTCTCCAGATTATAGTCTGCCGCTCTTAACCACTACATGACGCTGGCTGTTCTTAAAAGGAATACAAGTGCAAGAAACTAGGGACTATTCGACCTTTTCTCCTGTGCTGTCTTTCCCCTGAAAATCACTACCTCCAGTTTGGTTTTACTGATAGGTTTTCCCTAACAGGACCAAAATCTGCCTGCTTGAGGATATTTTCAGTGTGAAAACAGGGTGAGGAGGAAGGATAGAGAGCTCCTCCTCCACCCTTGCAGCAGTGTTCTCTGTTAAATGGCAGCAAGCAGCTCTATTGCGAACAGAGTGGAGGGAGACTGTAGAACTATCGTAACTATGAGGAGAAAGCCTTGACTGGGAGAGGCAGATTCTAGCCACATGCGGTAGAATGGATCTAGGCTGAAGGAAGTAGGGACTCACAGGTCCAGGGAGTTTGAGCAGCATAAAAGAGAAGGGTGGGGGACCATGAGACTTGCCACTTGTTGCTTGAAAGGACCATAGGACTCACATGACATGAGACCTAGCTATATGCCATGAAAAGCTTCAGCTGCCTATTTCTTCATATTAAACATCTATTAAAAAGACAGTACATTTTTTTTTCTTGGCCAGTTAACAATGGCTGCAGTCACACAGAGCATTAGCCACGCTACAGAGATGGAAGATCGGTGGATTTTCCGGGCGCGATCACAGCGCCACATCTGGGAAACATAGAGCTCCCGTGGCGAACCCGAGGCTTCCCGCCAAAGATGCAGGGTAAAAAACTAGTACCTCCGAGGTACTAGTTTCTGGAAACCGTGGGGCAAGGGCGGGCGCCTGATCGCGTTTCCGGTGGTAGGTCGTGGCATCCGGCGCCCGCCCATATCCCGTCGCTAAAAGGGTTTTTTTCCTCCAAGTCTCCACGGGATGCGCACAAGCACCTAACGGCGCATGCGCACACTTAGTTTAAAAACAAACAACACAGCCCCCTCCTCTTTTCCGTACCTCCCCACCACACTCCTGGCTCAGCCTGCTCAAGAGGAACTCTCTGCACCGGGTGGCAGAGGGGGAGGTGCAGGGGGGCGTGGTGGGAGGGCGGCCCGGTTGAAGCTCCTCCTGGAGGGGACTGGACGGAGGACACAGTTTGCATTCCTCTGCAGCCCTGGAAGGGGTTAAACCCGCAGAGCCTTTTGCTAGAGCCCCCCGCGCGCGCGCATTTTCCTGCCCGTGTGACCGGGGCCAATGTTCATTTTAAGAGTATTTTCTTGTCTGAAAAGAACGGAGCCTAAAACAAGTAAATATTCTCAATCCCTTGCTGCCTCTTACCATTCTCTGATTGCCACCAGGTCTGCTCACCATCCTGGCCACTCAGATAGATGACATTCTCAATCCGGTGGCTCTCACGAAGGGAGGGTGAATGTGAGTCACAAACGAAGCATTTCTCAGAGTCCTGCCATGAGAACCACAGTGTACTCAGACATCGACTAAAGCATCACATAGAGAAGGTTGGGAATACTTGGAGGTTTTGTGGGTGGAGCCTGGAGAGAGTGGGGCTTAGGAAAGGGAGGGACCTCCGCAGGGTATAATGCTGTGGAAGACACCCTCCAAAGCAGCCATTTTCTCCAAGAGAACTGATCTTGACCATCTGGAGATCAATGGTAATAGCAGGAGATCTCCAGGTACCACCTAGAAGCTGGCAACCCGACACATGGATGCTCAGCGAAGTCACATGACAGTGGAGGTTGCAGTCATCTACTGTCAGAAGGACACAAGTGTCTGGCAAAGACACTGCTTTCCCCCCACAGAACTCATTGTACAAAGAGCCTGACTCCCCCCCAAAAAGAGGGGAGAAAATCTAAACCAACAAAGCACAAACCTCCAAAGGAAGTTTAGAAAACTTACTGAGGGCCAAAAGCTGATGTCCCTGACAAGGCAATTTTACTTGCACTCTTAGGACCTAAATTGGAAAGTACATATTAGTTCCAGTATATACAACTACTTCTGACACAAGACAGATATATTTGTGGCCCCAAATAGAAACTTTTTGGTGTGTCATTCAATTCCATATTGGAACATTCCAATTTTGGTCCTATTTTATTTATTGTTAATTTCCTCACATGTGTTACAGGGACTCTGTTGCTTGTTGTATTTTGCACTATTTGACCTCTGAAGAAGGTCTTGTGAGCCGAAACACATCAGGTCATATACTATCTTTGAGTGTGTGTGTGTGTGTGTATTTGTAACTTTGAACATTTTATGAGGCTTTCTTTGGGCTCCTACTAGGAGCTGCGGTGGCTCAAGTGGTTAAGACGCTGAACTGCAGGCTGTGGAAGGTCAGTAGTTCAGCAGTTCGAGACCCGAGTGTGCCGCATGATGGAGTGAGCTCCCGACTCTAGTTCCAGCTCCTGCCAACCTAGCAGTTCGAAAGCAAGAAATTGCAAGTAGATAAATAGGTACCACTTCAGTGGGAAGGTAACAGCGTTCCCTGCGCCTTGGTGTTTAGTCATGCCGGCCACATGACCATGGAAATGTCTTCGGACAGCGCTGGCTCTTCGGCTTTGAAACGGAGATGAGCACGGCAACCCTAGAGTCGGATTCACCTGGCTTTCGAGCAAGGGAACCTTTACCATTTTAGGTTTTTATACTTCTTTGTAATAAGCACTCTTTTGTACACTTACGTATGTGTTTAACTTTTGGCCCTCAATAAGTTTTCTAAACTTCCTTTGGAGGTTTTTTGCAAAGAGCTGACTACCAGCTTTCCCCCAGCCCAAGTGCTGTGAAAGTCAGCAGACAGCTATCTACTGACAGTAGTCTGAACCATAGTGAAAATAAAAAGAAAGGCAAAACTTCAGAAAAGGTGCTCCACAGGGGAAGTTCATTACAATCCAATACATTTAGATCCAAGCATCTCTTCAAGTAAAAAAACAACACACAACCTTGTAAAGTTGCTAACTCACAGGAGCAGCTGCCTCATAGGCTTACTTTTTCCTATAAATGAGTGACAGTGCAGTCCTAAGCAAGGCTGCAAGGTTCGAAGTCTGGCCTTAAAACAGTGTAACCTTCTTTAGGATTGAGCTGTTAAGATCCACCTGGATTGAAACATACTAGGGTTGACTAGACTTGCTGTATGGATAGGGCTGCCAGCCTCCAGGTGGAGCCTGGAGATCTCCCAGAATTACAACTGATCTCCAGGTGACCCAGATCAGTTCCCCTGGAGAAAACGGCTGCTTTGGAGGGTGTATCCTATGGCCCTTGTACCCGCTGAGCTTCCTCCCTTCCCCAAACCCCGCCTTCCCCAGGCTCCACCCCAAAAATCTCCAGGTATTTTTTGCTGCGGCTGATAGTTCTCCACCTCCTGCCCCTTTTTGTTGTTTGTGTACTCTGGACCAGCCTGATCCAATTTCCTCCCCAACTGTGCAACCCCCCCCCCTCCATCAAATTCCCACATTTGGGGACACCGTACATGTGACAAAAAAGATGGGTTTCTCTACCTTCTACCATAGGGGAGGTATGATTTTTCTGCTGCACTTTCAGTAGGATTGTCATCCGTTCTCTCTAGCCTTATCACCTTGATCTGCAGCACTTATCAGGGTACGTTATTTAGCTGTACACCATGAAAAGCTTCCGTTGCCCATTTCTTCATATTAAACATCTGTTAAAAGGTTTTCTCTTGACTAGCTGACAATGCTAATTTTAAGAGTAATTTTAAGAGTATTTTCTTATCCAAAAAGAACTGAGGACTGTTTCTCATGTGTTTTTATATATGCAAATGTGCTTCAAACATTACAGGAAGAAAGTCACTCTGCAAGGGAAATATGAAGATGGCTCTTCTCTACTAGTACGGGAAGTGGCCCATGCAACACAATCCTACGCGTGGCTATTCAGTAGTGAAGGGGGCTGACTCCCATGGGAAAGGGCATGGGCTACAGCCTTAGAACACTGTTGCCAGGTGTGCAGACTAACCTCTATTAATCTCTTATGAATAATGTTTCCATTGCAGGTAGGCCTACCTTCTACCATTAGCTTCTGCCTTTAGAAATCGTCCATATATCCAAGGCACTTGGCCAGATAGAAGCAGACGCAGAGCCTCCATCAAGGCAGGCTGTCCTTAGGCTGAATCCCCATTGTCAGTTTTCCCTGGTCCTTCACAATCTCCAGCACTCAGGTAGCATTACCTGTAGATGGCTTACGATGCAGTATTCCTGGGGCTCCTCCAAGCCACAAGTGGATGTTGCACTTAGGCTGTGGGACCTTCCAATGAGCAGGTTCCCTGTGGCCGGATAGCAGCTCCCCTCTGAACAGCCATGGTATAGCAGGTCAGGCTCTTCTGGCCCTTGAGCATTGGCTACCTGAACTGATCAGAAAAAAAAGAAGGGAATAGGCCCAAGGCCATTTTAAGAACGTGTGAGATATCTGGGCATAGTGAAACAGGATCCCTCCCACAGAGACGGATACTATAATCTTCCCTTCCCACCCACCAGTAATTCACACATATACTGGTGATAACAGACCCACTATTTACACGGGCTAGAGGGGTGTACAAAGGACAAGTTAATTTGTTTTATCGGCTACAAATGGTGATGTGTTTTTTAAAAAAGGTCTGAGCCATGCTGTCAACAGCAAGTTCCAAAAACTCCCTTCCTGATTTATCAGATTTAAACATGGGGTTCCAAATGTTTCAGGGCCCAGCTAGCTAGGGTCTGGGCTCTAAACCTGTAGGCAACCTCTTAAAATCATCCTGAATTTTCCAGTTGCTACATTAGAGGAGGGGTTGCCACAAATGGGTATGGGGAGGCAGAAGTGAGAAAAGAAGTTTCTCTGTGACACTAGGGCTGCCAGATCCCCTGGGGGGCAGGGGTTTGCCCGCTTTAGGGGCCCCCAGTCCACTAGCCCAGAACTGGCTGGCAGGGGGGAACCCCACCCCCCAAAATCCTAGATCAGGCCGACGTGCCTGGCGCGATGATGTCACCCACAGCTGAAGTGATCACACCGGACACATCGCCAGGGGGATGCTCTAGCATTCAGCCTGAAAACTCTACGATATCATAGAGTTTCTAGCTGAATGCTAGGGCGTCCCCCTGGTGACATGCCTAGTGTGATGACATCACTCCTGGGTGATGTCATAGCAACACGTGCACATGTGAAGATCCCGGAACAGGAGCTTCTCCCCCCCGCCCTTGCTGGAAAAAGGTAGGGACCTGGCAACCCTATGTGACACTCATATCCTTCATGTGATATTATCTGGCATTGACACAGCTAAAGAATCTCAAGGATGTTTCATGAATCAACATGTGTAGGACAGCTACAACTCTGGTCATACTAAAAGTAGATTTATTGTGGCATAAGCTTTTGCGGCCTAAACTCCACTTTGTCAAATGGATGAAGTGCATCCTCAGTTGGCAGGTATAGATATACACACAAGCATAGAGGCGGAAGGGTAGTAAAGAAGGCCGACACAAGGCAAAGTAAGCACAATGAGCATTTTCAATTTAGTTCCTGCAGTGTGAGAGGAACCCAGAATCCCTCAAACTGTATCTGGATACTATCAAGCTTCCAGATAAATTCTAACTCAGCAGTGTCACACTTGATTCTCCCTTTCAGGTTTTGTTACGGAAGAATGGTGATTCTTATAGCAGTAACAAAATGTCTCAGGAGACTGAAATATTCTCCTGCCTGCCTTTTCTGCCCTGGCCCCTGCCTGATAGAACATGCTTCCGGTTGAGATCAAGGCCCTGCAGGAGTTACCACAGTTCCACAGGGCCTGAAAATGGAGTCGTTCCGCCAGGCCTTTGGCGGAGGTGGTGGACATCCAAATTACACTGGCCTTCCCTGCTCAATCTGGTCAATCAGATAATTCTGTTCTATCTGCCTCATTTGCCCCAGGGCACTGCCTATAACAACTTTGTGCCAATCACTGACAGGAATGTGCCCTCCCTGATATTGTCGCAGCAGACACTGTAGTCAGAAACTATTAGGCTGCCATTAGGGACCGTTTAGAGCTGCGGTGGCTCAAGTGGTTAAGACGCTGAACTGCAGGCTGTGGAAGGTCAGTAGTTCAGCGGTTCAAGACCCGGGTGCCGCAAGACAGGGTGAGCTCCTGTCTCTAGTTCCAGCTCCTGCCAACCTAGCAGTTCGAAAGCAAGAAATTGCAAGTAGCTAAATAGGTACCAGTTCGGTGGGAAGGTAACAGCGTTCCGTGCGCCTTGGTGTTTAGTCATGCTGGCCACATGACCACGGAAACGTCTTCGGACAGCGCTGGCTCTTCGGCTTTGGAACGGAGATGAGCACCGCAACCCTAGAGTCGGATTCTACTGGCTTTCGAGCAAGGAAACCTTTACCTTTACCTTTAGGGTTAGGGTTTTACATAATTTTATCTAGATGGAATTGTTCATGTTTTTATGAATTGACTATTATTTTTATCTTGCCGTGAGCCACCATGAGGTCGCTCGTGGGATAGGGCAGGATATGAGCTGAATAAAATAAAATAATAAATACATAATTATCGTACGGCAGTGTGTGTAATATAGCCAGGAGATCCTAAGATTGTCTGACAGACAGAAGTTCTAGCTCTTTAGTGTTATGCACCACTAGATGGCAAGCTAGACTTATTTTTGAGGCAATAGATGTTTCAGAGGTGGTTTGCCATCACCTGCCTCTGCGTCACAACCCTGGTATTCCTCGGAGGTCGCCCTTCCAAATACTAGCCAAGGCTGACCCTGCTTAGCTTCCAAGATCTGACGAGATCGGGATAGCCTGGGCCATCCAGGTCAGGGTGCATGTGATTCAAGTGGCACTGTCTAAAAGCATCACAGACTATTAGAAATGGTACTTTAAGCTACTGAAGATACCACTCTTTGTTTCTGATTCAGTCATATGAAGGAACACTTGAGACTGGAGAAACAAGATCCCCCTCCCCTTTCGTTACACCTTGTGCTTCCCACTGTCAGAGGAAACATCTGTCACATGCGGAAGCTTTTAATGCCAGAACACAAAGGGTGCTTGTTAGTACTGGCAGAGCATGGTGCTGCTGACCTGCCTATGACCCTGTCAGTCTTCAGATCAGAAGGGGGTCCTGCATGCGCCAGGATCCTAACACTGACCACATCAGGATTTCAGGATATATTAAGGAGAAACTTGCAAGTAGGCTATGATTTCCTGATCGATTCAACAAGTCTAGAAAGAGATTAAGCTTTCACAGTATCACCAGGTTTGTGAAAATTGAACAAAGAGTTCTGATCTAACACCTGCAAATGAAGTCTTCTATATAAGAATTTTGCGGTGTGTGAAACAACCCTTGGATAGGGACAGGGGTCATTTCCTGCAGGAGCGCACAGAAGCGGAGCTCCGGCAGTAAAGAGCCCAGGGGGCGGGCACATGCAACAAGCCCCACCCCCTGCTTCCAGCAGCCCTCAGTCAGAGCAAGAAGCAGCCAGGTAAGTTGCAGAGCCCCCCCCCTCGTCCCCCCTGGTCCAAGACAGTCCAGTGGCACCTTTAAGACCAAGTTTTATTCAGGTACAAGCTCTCCCTCCTCTGCGAGGACAGATCTGCACGTCCCCCCCCCCCAACAGCTAGCAATCCAAAACAGTCCAGTGAATCCTGAGCGGTGGGTGTTGCCTTCTGACACACTTCCGGTGATGTCGGGGGGCGGGGAGGCCCAGTGTTTTGTTCCCTGAGTGTGGAGAGACCATAAAGGAAGCTTGGACTTCAGAACTGAACCAGAGTTGCTATGAAATTAAATAGCATTCCTTTCCTTGGAGCTACAGGAGCTCTGGTCAGCTGTTGTCTTCTCCCATGTCAACAATATGCATATCCCAGTGAAGGGGGCAGCATCTCACAGGGGCCTTCCTCAACATGCTCTTCAACTCTCAGTTCCATCTTGTCCCGGGGACCCACATACTTGAAGGACTGCCTCTCCCCTTAGAACTCATGTGGTATCTCGGTTCTTCTGACCCACTTTATCGCTCCATTCTTTCTTGTAAACAGGTGTGGGGATAGCAACAGCCCAATCTCATCCTTTCTGTTATAATCCTCACTCATTAGAAAGTTCTTCCCTATCGTGTGAAGAAGGCTGCCTTGCCCCTCTTTTTGCATTTGTACAGGGCTGTACAACTGTATAGAGGGCATTTTTTGCCTGTCCTACAGGTCGTAGTTTGAAATACAGTGATATATTTTTAAGGGTATTCTGACAGTTTATTACCTTTGTTGTTACCTGCTCTGTTATGCAGGACAAATTTATACACATTTTAATGACAGACACATTTTCTCAGAGGATCCCTAGCCAATCCTTATACTTTTTTTAAAGAAATGACTTCTTAGTGCCCAAGCTCTTGCTCTTGCCAATGATTAACTGAGGCTGCCCAGCCAGAGGTATGTCTGGTACATTCCAGAGCAGCCCCACCCGTGCACACGGAGTGCTTAATTTCTAAAAACGAGAACTGGTGGGTCTCAAGACCGCCTGGAAGCCACACCTCCTGCTGCCATTAGTTGAAGGACACCTTTCCCCGACTCTTCTAAGGTTTGTGTGCCAGCAGCATTTTTTACCCAGTTCTCCCTCCATGCCTTTATTATCTGCTCAACAAAACTAGACTTTAAGCAAATGAAACTTCTCCAGTCAGGGTTGGAGGTCATACAAAAAAGGCTTCAGCTGCTTAATTTCTGCATGAAAGTGTCTGCTTAAGGAAACAGGGGGAGAGTCAGGGTTCCCCCCCTTTTAAAGTCTGTCTCTAGACATACAGGACTAGCTGTGATTACCCAGGAAGAAGTAAAGGCACTCGGGGCGTGGATAAAAGGAGAGAAGACAGGGGTAATATTGCTGCCAGCCTACAGGTGGGGGTTGGAGACTTCCTGGAATTACAACTGATTTCCAGATGACAGAGATCAGTTACCCTGGAGAAAAAGGCTGCTTTGGAGGGTAGGCTGTGGGCCATTGTACCCTGCTGAGGTCCCTCCCCTTCCTAAACCCCGCCCTTCCCAGGTCCTACCCCCACCGCTTAAAGGAATCCTGTTTACCTTTTACAGCTTCCATTACTCTGTTTGTTAACCATGCAGGCTTTTTCCTATACCTGTTCGTGCCTTTCCTAACCTGCGGAATATATTTTTTGAGCTTCTAGAATCAAAGTTTTAAATAGTTTCCAAGCTTCCCCAATGGTTTTGACCCTTTCTACTTTTCCTTTCAGTTTCCTCCCCACATGTCCCCTCATATCAGAAAAATTACCCCTTTTAAAGTTAAAAGTGGTTGTGTGAGTCTTTTTGGCCAATTCCCTATTTGTACAAATGTTGAACTCAACAACATTATGATCACTGTTCCCAAGCGGTGCAATCACTTTTACATCTCTCACCAGGTCTTGAG